ACCAATATATCTTGTGGTTGACTCAGTTTGTTGTTTCATGGCTGCTTATGAGATGCATTTGGTGCAAGCATCTGTGTGTTGTGCTTTGACTTCTAAGGCTTTTGACTTATTCTCCATTAAGTTAGAAATTCTCAATAAAAGTGTCTCATTTATTCTGATTTCCATATCACTTATCTTCCAATTGATCTTAGTTAGTTCTCATTCTTTCCCCTTTGGCATTAATGCACCTCTTTTGGGAGGGATCAGTTTATTATAATGTAAAGCTATTGTGTTCCCCATTGCAATTTGCTGTAGAAAGTGTTGTAAATACATTGGAAAATGATGACTAACCACGCTCCTTCTGTTAGGATTTTGTTGATATTTATGTCTTTTTCGAAGCAAAAAAAGTCATTGAAGCTCTTCAAAGCAAAGAGGTGGCTCCTGCTCTTGCCTGGTGTGCTGATAACAAGTCCAGACTGAAGAAGTCAAAGGTATCAGATGATTCCTTGTACAAACTGTTGAAAATTGAAGTTAAGCGGTTAGTTGCATTAAGTTGTGGATTGGGTTTCCTTGATTCAGTAATATCCATCGGCTTTTCTACTATTTGATGTTCAATCTTTCAAACTCTCTAATGTTTGCATGAAACTTCCATGATGGTTCATGGAAAGCTAATAGAATAGCAAGTAACAAAGTTCACAATTCTATAATTGTAATTCTCTTGGTAGTAATTCTTTCCTGGTACAGTGCTGAATGTTGTTTCTGGAATATTATGCAGCATGGTTAAAGCTTAAAATAACTACTTTTTAACTTGCAAAAGTACGTGATATATTATAATTGGCTGTCGTAAGTTGGTTATATGCTGTAATCTCATTTATCAGAATGGAGTCTCTTTGTTAGCAAGGCTCTTTAAGAACCTGTCTGAATGCTTTCTGTTTCGTCTCCTAAACAGCATGTCGTAATCTAGTGAGTTCTCAGATTTCACGTATATAAACTTCAATGACTAAAAAGTACTGAATGCGGTGCTTCTTCTATGTGGTAGTCTGTAGACTTTGTGTTATTATTATTTTTATTTTCCTGCTATGCATTCTTTATTGACTTGTACAAAGGTAGTGAGAAAAATAAAATTAAAGCATCTATCTTGTGCAATTCTGCTTGATTATTCTTTACTAATGGTGGAATATGACAAATTTGTGTATAAAGACAATTTCATCTAGCTTAGAAGTATGATGATGCACTGGCATCTTTTAACATTATTTCATCACACATTGTAGACTATTGTATGAGTAATTAGTTTGCTTTTGATGGGGAGGATAGACCCCTGGTCACAACAGGTTTTCCAGAGCATCACCTTAAATGTATGCTTGAGTATTCTCAGAAGTGTTACTTATTGGTATAGAAGGCAATAGGTTTCTGGCAGATTCTTTCGCTTAAGGTTCAGTTTTTGGTTGTGTGAGTGATCTGTTTGCTTTTGAGGTGGAAGATGGGTCTCTGGTCACAAGTGGTTATTCGTAGCATCACTTCAAGTGTATGCTTGAATATAAGCAGATTGCTTGCTAGCTCATAATGTTTCAATTGTCTTGAGCATAAAAATTGATCCAGCACTAAGTACAAGAATCTTTTACTTCCAGACTTAAGGTGACATGGACTTTTATAGTATACCATACAGGCCATAATACTTGTGCTGTCAAGAAAGCTATATACACCTTCATACTGCATCATTCAGTATGCCAAGTTTCCTGTGCAACTTGAGATATATTTGCTAGGATATATTTTTAAAAGTCAATCTTGAAAGTAAAATTTCCCCTCCCCGCACAGAATTATGTTAAAAACATCCATCTATGTAGAGCTGCATATATTTCCTCACACTTCAGTCTCTAATATTCTGGACTAAATGATAATCAGACAAACTTTCAGAAGATGCCATAAAGGTCAACCTTCCACATCAAAAGCAAACAGATCAGTCACACAAGCAAACTCTGAACCTTAAGTGAAAGAATCTGTCAGAAACCTATTGCCTTTCTATACCATGAAAGTGAAACCTTATTTTGTTTTTCCAGTTTTAACGTGGAGAAGGCTAATTTTCTGGCGTCTAGTGTTGTCACTGATAGTAAAACTGATGATGATGGTTAGGTAATGCTACTTTCTCAATGCTTTATGAATTTGGTAGTTGGAGGATAAAATTTGCAGAACACTCCTTAAAAAAGAATAAAAAAGTGGACTACTCTGAAAAATGTGATGCTCTGTCAAGAGAGAGAGAGAGAGAGAGAGAGAGAGAGAGAATTTACATTGAAGTATGGTTAGCAGGTCTATGATGATGAAGTTAGATAATGCTGGAAAATTGCGATTGCAATCAACTGTTAATGAAGCTTAAGATTGTAGGCTTGTCAAGTCACGGTTATAAGGTTTCAATTAAAGAGGAAGTATTCATGAAGAATGGCTATTTTTGTGTTATTAAAGAAAAGGTTTTCATTCACAAGATATTTACAGTGTTTACCTCTCTTTGTGTAGCTGTGTATAATGTTGAATTCTGATTGAATTGTTACTTGATTACTGGAGTAATTTTCATGCACTAAGCTTTTTATTCTCTTCATGGCAGAGCAAATTTGAGTTTCAGTTGAGGTTACAAGAATTTATAGAGTTGGTAAGAGCTGAAAACAATATGCGAGCAATTACGTATGCGCGCAAGTATCTAGCACCATGGGGAGCCACCCATATGAAAGAATTGCAGCGGGTCATGGCCACACTTGCTTTTAAAAGTAATACTGAATGTCCAACTTACAAGGTGAATATCTTCTCTTGTCCTCAATTTTCCTGAATTTTCCTTTTTGTTGTTTTTCTTTTCCCCTCTTTTTGAGGAAGAACTCGGAGAGGGGAAAGGACTGCAGAGGGCATAAAAACACTCTTGACCTCTGATTGCAAAAGTTGCTCCATTTGCATGTAATTGAATAGGGTCTTTGTACGAAGTGGTTTTTGCTTGCCTTCGTTCCACATGAGGGTAATTGTTTGTTTCATTTCATTTGTTATTTATTGCAATTTCCAGGTTTTATTTGAAGCAAAGCAATGGGACTACCTAGTCGACCAATTCAAGCAGGAGTTCTGCAGGTTATATGGCATGACACTAGAGCCTTTGCTGAACATATATTTGCAAGCAGGCTTGTCTGCTTTGAAAACTCCGTATCCTCGTCTGGTTTCTATAGTTATCTCCCATTCTTCTCCTGATATATAAAATTTTTAAATGCTTGAGACTGTCAGATCTAATGGTTCTGTCTTGTCAATTTTGCTTGGCGGGTCAGAAAGATAATTAACTTAGTTTATTCTCCTCTTCCTTTTTTCCTTTGACACCATATTAATTGGTTTAACTTGTAATATGGTGTTTCATGTGTGGAGTGATTTTTCGGAATCCCCACTTTTTCCTTGACCTGATTTAGATTCTGTTATGAAGATGATTGCACAAAGGAGGATCCTCTCTCACAAGAGAGCTTCCGTAAATTAGCTCTTCCACTACCATATTCAAAGCAGCATCATTCAAAACTTGTTTGCTACATTACCAAGGAACTGATGGATACTGAGAATCCGCCGCTAGTCTTGCCGAATGGATATGTGTACAGCACTAAGGTTTGCACCATACTCTATATGTTATGTTGTTCTCTTGAGTTCTTAAAATCTTTACCCCTGTTCTTTTTGCGATGGCAGGCTCTCGAGGAAATGGCAAAGAAGAATGATGGTAGGATTACATGCCCAAGGACAGGCCTAGTCTGCAACTACACCGAGGTGATCAAAGCATATATTTCATGAGACCCATTCTAAAACTGATCGGGTCCATACAAGTGATTGGCGACCTGTTCTTCAGCCTGTAGTTTCTCTATTGAATGCTGATTGTCTGGCATCTGGTCATGTCAGGTACTGGTCTGGGTGCTTGTTTTGATGCCCCGACCTACAATTTGATACATACAAATGTACATATGCCAAGTACACCCCCCTTAGGTTTGTAATTATTAGTGAAGATCTTTATTTAAATCTTGAGGTAGTTGAGCAAAGCTTTTCACTTGATGCCGATGGTGTAGCATTGGCTAATAGAGCTCTTATCTGTAACACACTTCCATCCAAATAGCGGAACACAAACTAAACTCCATTCTGAACCTTTGCGAAAACATAAAATAACGACTTGTTACTGTGAGTTACCTCGGCTCTAACCCTCTGGATTTTGAAGATGCTTGGATTTGCTTGATTTATGTCCATCTGGCGTCACCTTGAGCTCTTCCACGAAGCTCAAGCCATTGAATCAGGTGTCCGTTATTGACGTTATGTGTGATGTTATTCACTCTTAACAGCTAACTGCAAATTAAAGAGGTACGATTAAAGGTGGAAATTCGGTTGGCGGAATCATATAGAAACATGCATCAGTATGAAGAGAGTGGTGACGAGGGAGAGGGAGGAGCGGCGAAAATGCAGTTGGTGGCGGGGATTCCTTTGTGCTTCTAATCTTGGACATGTCCTGAAGACGAAAGCAGCATGTGCAGGGGGGGATCTTGCATACCCATTTCTCAGCTTCTTTAGCAACAACGAAGAAACACCAGCGGAAATCTCTGCTATATTCAATTGTTTACTGGAGGTGAACAGCATTGAGTGATTTGCTATATTGTTTGCCGCTGCCGACAGTTGATATCAGCAATTCAAAAAACCTTACGCTTTAATGATATAGACGCTGCAAAATTTCTTCCAGAGTTCGTCGGTTTCTTTGACTAGCTAAAACTGATTTCTTGCTTCCGTCTTTCAAAAGGACAAGGCAAGTTATCACATTATAGTGCAGGAGAATCGTTAAACAGCTAGTCCCATGACTTTCGCGGGCAACAGAAAACTGGTTTATACCCAATGTAAATCACTAAACCGGAGGTTAACCCCTAATGCAAATCAATAAACTCGAGGAGCAGCAGTAACGGACGAGGGCCAAAGTCAAAGTACTGCTGAATGTTTCTATTGGACCAAATAAATATGAGCAGCAGTTCCCTGGTTCCACGAGAGGAGTAGAAATTCAGTGTATTATCAAACTGCCAACTTATTTGGCTAATTGGCTGGCGTATCAACACACAGAACAAAGTGGATTAAATCGTTCTTCAAATGTAATAGATTGTATAAAATCTCATAGAAACAGGGATAATGAGTTCCAGCACCAAATTAATACATATAGACCTCCCAAAACAGATTACACAGAAATGAAGGAGAGTTGAGATACTTCATATCTCACTCACTGCCCCTTGGTGAACCATTGGTTTCATCATTATCAGCGGGGCTTCCATTGTCCCTACGGATGGGGCTAGGACTTCGGCTACGGCCATTTTCTTCAAGAGGACTCCTATCTTTGATACCATCATCCCTTGGAGCATCATCTTTAGGGCTTCTACTATACTCTGAGTCATTGGTTGGCCTACCATCCCTTGGTGAAGGAGTGCCCCTCTCTCGGGGGCTTCTCTCATCAGGTGTTGGGCTGTGCTTCCTCCCTTTGGATGGTGGTGGAGATGATACCCTGTGACGCTTAGGGCTCCTAGATCTTTTCTCCTCACGCTCGTTGCTACGATCCCTCCTTGGTGGAGACCTCGATCGGCTGCAAACACATGGTATATACCAAAAAAAGGGTCACATTCTAAATGTATTTTGATCCAATATGACCTGGTGCAAAAACAGCAAATTCCTACAATAAAGCACTTTAACATGAAGACAGGTTTTGAAGATAAATGCAAGGAAAATGAAGGTGCCCATCAGTTATTGATAAATTTTACTTTCCTCCTTCCTTTCATGCAAGTTAAAACTCATGCAAAGCAACATTTTACCAATGGAAATGGATTCCAAATTCAGGAAACTTAGGCCTACAAAATAGCAAATCTAAGCAAAGAAAATAAATCGAGAAGCTAGTAATGAGTCAAGATGTTTAACCTGTAGCTTCTGCTCCTGCTGTAACTACGGCTTGGACTCCTGCCACGACGAGGAGGAGATGGTGATCGAGAATAACTGCGCCCGCGTCTGCGCAACCAAAACTCAGTTAAGAACATGGAAACACTGACTAATCATAAAAAATGGGGGGAAAAAAAGAAGGAATCTCAGTATGCACTTTAGCTTTTGGGGGCTGTTTTGACAGTTCCTTTCTATATGGCCTCGTTCACCACATCGATAGCACTTGTTCTTCCAGTCCCCAGCTTTGCAATCTCGAGCCCAATGGCCATCGATTCCACAATTAAAGCAGCGCCCAGTTCCAGGAGCTGGACCCTTGCCAAGATAATCACGATCACGGGAGCCACCAGGACCACGTGGTACCTAAAGTAAAAAAGCAGAGCCCCTTTAGCCACTTTGGAACCCGCTTAAAAAAAAAAATCAAACATGACACATCCGAATATGCTTCAGAGGCAGGAATAAACAAGCAAAATTATGATTTGTAACATGAAAGTTTTCCTGACAAAAATAACAACAGCTCAGTTAAACATAAATAAATCAAAAGAAAAGATGCGGCCAGGGCAACATAAAACATGCAAACAATCAAAGGAAAAGTACAAGTGAACCAGAATAAACAACTGAAACAGGAAGGGAGAGAAGGATCATGAATAGCGTGCAGTGAAAACCTTACCCCCTTTGCAAATTCCACAATAATACGACTTCCATCTACTTCCCGGCCATTCATGCTATATCTTGCATCATCAGCATCTCTAGGATCACTAAATTCCTGCAACCAATAGCAGATAAAAAGGGAAGAGGAGCCCACGAAAATAAAGGTTACAGGACTCCCTCTTGCACTTAAATAGCAAAAGATGCTTTAAAAAAGATACTAGAAAAGCGTACCACAAAGGCATAATCACGCTTCATGTCCACATCACGTACTCTGCGTAAATGGGTGCCACAAACAGTAAGGCCATCAACACGTTAGAACCAAAGGACTGATACTTCGCCCCTCAAAGATGAACTATAACACCAGTTTGAGATTGTTGCCATTTCCATCAAAAAAAATTGTAATAACATTAAGATAGAATCGCCAAAGTCTCCTATACATTCTGCAAGACAAGCGACCAATTCCACCAAGGGCAACCTCTCACCATAGACCTCCAGGTTGGGCAAAAGCCCATAAACCTTCAGAAACATTATTCAAGTTAAAATGAAACGTGGGACAATTTCTCTCAAATAGATTTTGTATAGAAGTGTTAATTTGAATCTCAAAGGCAATAAGGGTTTCACGAGGATTCTGATTCTGCCCAAGACGCCTTGATGTGGATAAACCCCAGAACAAAGACCGATGACCAATACAGAAAAAGAACAATGGTGGGAAGTATTGACCCAATAAGGGGGAAAACAAAAAGCTTAAACAGAAGCAGATGGAGTAACATTACACCAAAATTCCATAAACTTTATCTAGATTACGAAAAAAGTAAATAAAAAAAGCAAATGAAATGAGTCAAATTCTACTGAAGTAGATTAATTACCTTCCATATCTGCTAAATAGATCCTCCAGGTCACGTGAACGGGTCCTTGAAGAAAGGCGGCCAACATAGAGCCTTGTAACACCATGGCGATCATCATAGCGAGGCATTTTCCCTAATAATTGCAATAATCTTTTAGAGCCCCAACTTTTTAAAAGTATTTGTGCAAAACCTAAAGAACATGAATACATGATACTAAACATATCAGCAGATTATTAATATCCCTCTTCTCTTTTATTCTATTGCCGTTCTTTATGGGGTGACATGGGCTGTGCTTTATTCAAACAAAAGAAGATACCTATTTTCTATTCAATTCAAAATAAAATGGAGCTACGAAATTTTTCTTAGAATTCCTTTATAGCCAAGATAAAACAGATATGAACAAGATAATAGACATCTATGTAACAGTTTCTCCTCGGGGTTTTACAGGTACTCATAATTGTTGTTACAATTGAAATGGAGATGGTGGTTTTAACTCAATATTGGTTTATCAATTTCTATTTTCTTATTAATTCATTAGGAAAAGAAAATATCAAATTTTTAAGATTCAAACCATTCATGAATTTGCAAACAGCAATCAATACTTAAATGGTTCGAATTTGCCATTAATTTCTAGAATTGTGAGTGAAAATCGACATTTGGTTTCTAATACCGAAAACCTAACCATTTTGCACATGTAATCACCAAAAGAAATAAGTAATTATCAAAGACTTAATTTTAGAGAAACCCAAATAAAAGCACGCACGCCACATACGAGAAACCCCAGAAAATTACATTCTTCATAGATGTAGAGCTAATAATTACTAATACGTCATAAAAATGTTCGATTTATTATCACTTGGATTATAACCTAGGACCAGTATATAACAAACCCTTATTCCAATAATGTCACAAAACTTACACTCTTCCGCATTCAAATTACCTACTTAACAGATAAAGTAGGCATGTACGAAAAGACTCAATCCAACAGAAGACAGCATATATGCAAAAAAGCAAGCCAGCAGACATATACAGCAAATTCGTAGTACATGAAAAAGGATTATCAAAACAGTAACAATTTACGGAAGAATGGCTAAGCTGATAGCTCGGAATAGGAATTACAAGCTGGGGAAGATGGTAAGTGGGAGGGGACGGGGAGCTTGGGCGTACCTGCAGAAAGAGATGAAACGGAAAGAAGAACCCTAGAACGAACCGGATCCCCCTTTTATTTTATCCTCTGCGGACTGCGGCGGTTGTTTGGACTGAGTGAATGGAGGCTGTCTTGACGATGTCCTTGGATTATAAGCCGCTGCTGTCTGCCTGTATGGGCTTTCTTTAATTGGAATACACTGGGCTCGAACAGAAGCCCATTATGTTATGTTCGGGAACTCGGCAAGGCAATGGGCCTATGGGACCCTTGTCCCGTCTGAGTTTATGGTTTTTTTGTGGGTTTTCCTTTTAAAACAAAAATTTTCCCCTTTCTGATGAGAACTAATGAATTTAATGCCAGTTTCACCCTCCAAAGTTTGCAAATGTCCTAACTTGACCCTCCAAACTGCAAAAGTTTTTATTTGGTCTTCCAAACTGAAAAAGAGTTGCGAACTGCCCTCCATCCAAAAGTAACATTTCACTCAATAAAAGGGCTGAATGAACAAATCAACTCTGGCAAACTTTTCAATTTGTTATTCCTTTTTCATCTTATAATATTACCTTTTTTTTTGGGTGCTTTTGTTCGACTCTTTCAAATAAAAGTTCTTGCTTTTCATTTCATTTCACTCCACCCATCCATGGCCTGCATCCGGTGTTTACTGACAAGGGAGCTGAATACAATTTGGCTAAATCTTGATTCATAGTTTGCCCACAGAACAGGGAAGAAAAAAAGTAATTAACCCCTGTAACAACCTACTACTTTTTCAGTACCCAACCCCACGACTAACTTCTGTTCCCTCAACAATAAGCAATGAACTTCTCGACAGGAGTTCTATGCGCCATGGCCAACTCCAGCACTTTTGCCCCTTGCCTTCTCTACCATCATACTGTTGTTGTACGAGTAATGCATCTCTAAAACTTCCTGCTTTCTGTTAGGTTGTCGATGAGGAGGCACGTGATAAACCGACTTCCATTCGTCTGACTATCAGCAAGCTTTGTGTGCGGTTGGAGAATTGGAAAACCAATTGGAACCTCCCTCTTAAGTTCCAAGATGAGGCCACCTTCAAACTGGATCACCATATGTAGAATAGAACCCTACACTCTATCCTTCTAATAAGGTTGCACAATACTTCTTCAGCCATGCAGAAGCAGACTTCAGAACACGAAGCTCACCACTAAGAAGATCATGAGCCATTTGTCTCCTTAAAGCATGTTTTCTAACCAAGTTTTGAGAGGTGGATGGTCCCAGAGACTGTACATAGCCACCAGTAAAAAATTATAACATGAACTTGCCAAACCAACACACAGATTACACTGCACAAATTAAAGGTTGAAACGTTTAGTACTTTGAAGAAAAAGCTCTTCTCTGCTAGTCGCCTGTTTATTTAATAATCAAATAGTAGGAACATACCAAAAAGGCAAAAGTGAAACGACAGAAGTACATGCCTCAAAAATGACCTAAGAATTTTTGGCCAGCCATGTTGTACAAGTCCTTTTCCTCGATTTCAGTTTTCAAAAAGTATCCTAAAACAGAATCATGATAGGATCATAAAGGGAAACTCATGGGTCAGAAGTTATTATCACCTTGATACATGCATCATATTCATTGATTTGTTCAGTTATTTTTGAGTGTATCAACTCATGTGCTTCAATCTCCCTGCTTTTGTTTTTCAAAGGACTTCGAGCCAGCCTACCATGGCTTTGTGCAGCTTCTGACTCCAAATCACTCAATTCTGAGATCAAATGGAAAAAGGAAAAGAGAAATAGATGCAAATCAGTCAGATCTAAGAAAAATAGCATCTTGCAATATCCAGATAGCAAAAGCAAAAAGACGGATTCAAGACCTTGAGCATTTGAACATAGTACACAAGCAAATGCACGAAAAGATTGTGGAATTCCCCTCCCTTTCTTAGAAGCAAACTTCACTTCCCTTCATGACAACCAGGCTTAAATGAGATCAAGCAAAGTCATGTGCTGATGCTGGCAATGGAGAAACTTCTCAGGAAGAGATTGTTGTTGCAAACATTTAGATACAATGAGCTCATATTTAGAAAAAAAACAAGCACATACGTTTGAAAATCTGAAGTTTGATGAAGATGAAATGTCTGAGAAGAACTCCTTGATATTTTTTAGACAACTTATGTTTTAGAGTGCTAATCTTTTATTCTGTTCATATCTTTAGTGCTCCCAACACATGGCCTGGTGGAAGGGATGCACAATTTAAATGTCTAAATTTAATACTCAATCGCATCAATTCTTGAAAAGCATGTTAGTGAATCAATACCAACTTGATTGTAAATAATTTCTCAGAAGAGCTAAATTCATTGACATCTTTAATGGCTGGTGCCTTGAATCTCTGCAGAAGTTCCAACTTCATCTGAAAAAGATGATAGTGCTGAGGTATATTGAGCTCAACTTGAGCCTGAAAACAAATAAATGTCAATCATACTTAGCCAGGCCAGCCAGCTCACTAGATCATTAAAGCAGTTAACCGGTAAAAAAGACAACGGAAAAAGCTTCTCATACTTAGAACTTCACAAATTCTTAACCACTATTAAACATAAATGACATGCAACTAGGTCTCGTGACATATGCCACATATGACTGCTAGCTCATTAAAAAATAAGTACATGTTGATCTGGATGGAGAGAACAGATGTGTATACCTTTTGCAGTCTGTGATTAGAAAGGGTTATTTGTGCCAATCAAATGCCTCAAACATAGTGAAATCTCTCACAAGATCTAACTTTTGGTTGGTCACAAGATGAAACTTTAACTATTAGTAATTCAAAACACAGGATTACTGTAAAAGCACTGGCTCCTGCAGTCAAGTGGACAAAAATGGACTGCAGATGGCAGCAGTAGTAGAATTTAAATGGAAACCGAACTTGTGTTTCAGTGTAAACATGTTTTACACCTTCATAGAAGTTATCATGGTCAGACAATATAATTATCTATATGACATTAGAACCAAATGCGGACATATCACGCCTTTCTCATTGTATTGTCAAGATGGTTTTTACCACTTCTTAGGTACATCCAACCTGTGGATGCATGGATTAAAGCCAGTGTATGAGAGAAGTACAAATTCAACCTCCAAAAATGTTGATATTCAAGAAAAATGACAGGCAACCGCAACCCTCGCCCTCACTCTGTTCCTCCCTGTTTCTCTCTAGTTCTTGAATACTAGGTATTAAGGTTAGCAACTTACTTTACACTAGAAGTCGCATAGACAGCAGGTGGAAAATCTAGGCAGAGTTTAAAATTCACAAACTCGAGTATCATAGTAATCTATTGGTAACGCACACTTCAAGCAGCAAAAGTTAAGAGAAAATCGCACACAAATGCGTAACAATAATGCCTGGAAGTGCCTCTGCTTCATTTCTTGCAAGATAATATCGGAAGATATCCGAGTCTCAAATTTGAGGAGGCTAACCTGGTCGTAAATGTTGTAAGGAACTGTGAAGCCAAAGTCCAAAACTAGGCTACTGTTGGAAAATTTTCCATAACTTATTAGCACCTGGTCAGAAATGCGAAACCATTACCTCCAAGCAACTGAACATTAAGAAACTAAAGCAGTTGCCAGCTGATAAATATGATTCAGCAGGCACCTATAACAGAATCAAATAGATGGTAAAACATATTCAATGAGTTGACATATGAATACATCACCATACCTGATCACCAGGGCTGTAATCACGCTCAGCAATGACCTGCACAAAAATAAAAGCCTACTTTAACATAAAATAGCTAAATCACATTTTTGAACTTTTCTGGAGTCACGTAATCAGTTATGAAATATTTGCACAAAAGAAATACCTAGAATCAGGTTTGCAGTGAAGAAGAATGAACAGGATAAATAGTACAGTTCTAAAATGACACACCAGAATTGAATCAAATGTCCAAATAGACCTGTGTAAAGACTCAAAGACAGGTATCTTGTCAAGCAAGATATCAATTAGCTTGAATTATGAGATTTTATTGTAAC